TCTCTTAGGAGAAAAAAGGCAGCCAATTGACAGTTTTAATGAAAATCAGGCATAGCCCAAGGACGTGTCAATTCAGGCTTGATGCAATCAATAGTTTCCTTCCAAAGTTTAGTCAAGTATCTGATCATTTGTCAGCTCAAAAATTAAACAGTTATATAACTATAAGATAATAAGATACTTATTTTTATAAATCCTTCTTTTCCAAATAAAATTGTGCCTTTCCTCAGGAAAAAAGAGAAGGGATTAATTTCAAATTGAAGAAGTGAAAAATAATTATGTCCATACAAGGAAACCGTAAGTTAAAGATACCTAGTTTTCCTAATGCACATTCTGCATTTTGTAAAATACTATTTTACTCTTAGCTACCTACAGTGATAATTACCTGGGAAAATTTTGCCTCAAGCAGTAGGATGTACTGTTAAACTCTTCACAGCAAAAATTTACACTGTCTCACTTTTGTAATGTTTCAAGTGAGTTAAAAATAAAAAATGACTTTCATTTGATAAATATGAACGAGGGATAGTATATGTATTTGTATGTATTTGTGAACTGTGGTCAGAGACATTAAATGTAACACAAGCCATACATCTAGAAAACACATTAGGAAATACTGCTGATGAATGCTCTGAAAGCTTTTTGTAACATTATAGGCCGGACTTTAAAAATATAGAAGTACAGAAAAAGGAACTGAAGGAAAAGGCCAAAATACCACAATGTTTACTTTTCTGTATTTGCCAAATTTTCCTAAATGAACATCAATAACTTTTAAAATAGGAAAAATTATTGCTTTAAAAAACTTGTAGAATAAAATTCAACCTAAAACAAGGTCATCTTGGACCTTGTCTAAGGGAGGTTAGCTACTAAAATATCATGACATATTTGGTCCTATAATATTACCTCCAAAGGTAGAGTTAGAGAATTTCATTTCCTAATGAAAATGTAATAATTATTATACTTTCTTTACCTCTTACATATTAAAAAATAAAAAATACACTTACAGATTTAACCAACAAGGAGTAAATGTATCCAAGTATTTCTGCTTTGCCAGTGTCAATATTGCTTTTTCATACTGAGGATTTATGCTACCATCACTGAACAAAATCAGTAATGGTTTCTGAAGTCTTAAATAAGTAGGAAGATTTCCCACAGTGATTTCTGGCTGTTGAAAGAAAGGAATAACAACAACAAAAATACATGGAGGATGATGATGCCATACAATAGAAAATGATATTCAAATCACTCATGCAATTTTAGTTTGTAAAATGTAATTCAAACACATTTTGACTTATGTAGAGATTTTACTATTCTAACTAATAACTATGAATCTCAAGCTTCTTGATGAGTTATTTTCAAAATAAAACTGCTAATAGAATTTGAGAATAATTTAAAGGCACCCCTGTTTTATAAGGATGTAATACTTCTATTAATAATTTCTTATGGTAAAATCTGGACCAAACTAGCCACTGCCCACATGACAAACAAACAAAACTTTTGTTATTTTTTCCTCTAGGATAAAATTTTTTTAATTTTTTTTTAATTGACAAATAATTGTACATAT